TTAGAGCTTTATTAATTTAAAATAAATTTATATAAACTTTTTATTGTTTTACATAAAAATTTTGAGTTTAATATTGGATAAAAAAGCGTTCAGAAACTTTTGGCAGGAGTCTGTATATACTAAAGATATACTTAATAATATTACTAATATCTTAGCTTAGAATAAATATAATTTATCTTATTATATCTAGTAATCTTAATAATATGCTTATTAGATTTTTGATTTGTCAATTATTTAAAGACATATTTTAATATAAATATTTTAATATATTCTATCTTTTAATAAAATAATAAATTTAGTTTTTTTATCAATAATTTTATATTATCAATTAGTTTTTCATATAATTTTTACTATTTGTAAATTTCTTTTTATTATTAATATCATTTATATCAGTTTTGCTTAAAATTTTTATTATAAAAAATTTTATAAACAAATTATTTACTTTATTCTAATTAGAAAAACTTAATTCTTATCTCTATAATATTAATAATATATTAAATAAAATAGAGTTATATAATATTTTTATATATATAAGAATATTTAATATATTATTTAAAAATGTTTAATATTATTGATCTACTAAAACCACTTATAACTTATAAAAATATATGATAATTCAAAATATATGACTAAATTTCAAATCTTCTTATTTTATTAATAAAATTTTTATTATTTTTTTCTTTTATATAATGATTATCTAGTATAATATTTTTTAATATTTTAAATAATAAATTTTATCTAAATTTTCAGTATTATATTCAAATATTTAGTATTTGATCCTAAAAATCTGATTGGTAAAAATATGATATTTTATATACTTTTATTTTAATTATATTAATAATTTAATATATAATATTACTAAAGATAAAAAATTGTATTTTTCTATGATTTTATAAATAATTTAATTTTTTTAAAAGATTTTTTGAAGATTTTTGAAATACTATTATTAATAATTAATCAAAATATGGGATCTTTGCAATAATAAAAGATATAAAATAGCCAGAAAAAAATTAATTTTATTTTTATATGCCAAATATGATTTTAGATCAAAATATTTTTAAATTTAGCATTAACCCATTTTTTTATGTTTTTGAGCTGTTTCTTTCTTTTCTATTACAAAAGTCTTATATGATCCTTAAAAATCACAAAAAAAAATAAAAATAAATAGAATCTTATAAATATTTAAATTATAAATATTTTCTAAACTTTTAAGAAAATAAAAAACTTAGATATAATTAGTGAATAAATTTAATAATATATTTTTGGATATTTAAATAAATACTAATTTTTTTTTTTTTTAATGATAACAATAGTCCTTATATATATATTTAATAAGTCTATTAAAATGAAAAGATAATAATTAATTTATTTAAATAAATTTGTAATAAAATTATAAAAAATAATTAGTACTTATAAATAATTTATTTTGATTTATTTTAATATATTTTTTTATAAAATTAATAAATTATTAACAGATTACATATTAAAAAATAAAATAAAATAAGTAAAAAATAGTAATTATATGTATTTTAAACTTTTGATATTAATAAATAGATTAAGTTATATATATATATTTCATTATATTTTACCTTTCAAATAATTCAAATTAATTAATAAGTATTAGTTAATAAATATTAATTAACATTTTATTTAAATAATATTAATATTAAAATTTATATTATATATGAAGTTTTAACCTTTAAAAGAATAAATATCAATAATTTTTAAAGATGTTACTAATCTTAATCCTAATCTAAATTAAAAATTTGAAAATCTAGCTTAATTATATTTTTAATAATTTTGATAGCTTTAATCAAAAGATTTCTTATTATTTAATTAAAATGATATTTTTAATTATTCTAATTAAACAATTCTTTATTATTCAATAAAATGATTGCAATAATAATTTTGATCATTTCAATTAAATAATCCTTTTATTATTTGATTAAAATAATAATTTTGATTATTAGAATTAAATAATTCTTTTATCATTTAATTAAAATATAATTTTGATTATTTTAATTAAAAATAATTTTATTATTCAATTAAAATGATTCAAAATGAAATTTTCAGATTAATTTGAAATTATTAATTTAAAATATTTAATTCAAAACTTATATAAAATTTTCAAATTAATTTTTATTAAATCTAAAAATAATTAAATTTGATTTGAACCAAATGGTCAGATTAATCTGAATCATTTAAAACTTTAGTTGAGATTATAATATTTTACAATTTAGTTTATGCTTATTGATGATTAAACAATTAACTTTAACAATTTTATCTGATTTTATGCAATTTATCTTTAACAGAATACATTCTATATTTGTTATCTCTAAGAATTTAAAAAGTTAATATCAATATCAAATGTTCTCAATTTTGATTTAACCTTTTTCTCTTTAATCCTTTAGATAAGATGATTTGTTTAGAACCTATATGATCAAATTTTTGATGTTGTAATGATTAAACCTCCTATGTCACATATTACTATTACTGTAAAGTGATAGTTTTAGCTTAGATTTAGGATAGTGCATGTCAGTTTTGATATAAAATTAGTTTTTTATATAGAGATGTTTTTTTCTGAATTTGTATTTTGTATTACTTTACATACTTAAAGGGTTATTTTAATTCTGCTATTTTAATTATAGATATCAAATTTATTTAATCACTAAATAAATTAAAGTTTCAAAACTGGCTTAAACTAAATCAATGCCTTTTACGTTCAGATTTAGCATTAACTCATTTTTATTTTTCCAAAAGTTCCACCCTTTCTATGAAAAGATCCTATAGTAAATAATACCTTCGAAAAAATATTTATCACCAAGTCTATAAATTTCACGATTGGTTTTTTTTTTAATTGACCAGAATCATGAATTTTTGTCGAAAATTAAAATATTTATTGAAAATCTTGGAATCATACAATTAAGAAATTCTCTTTAGTATGAGAAAAAAATAATAAAATATTATACCTAAATTAAAGATAACAAAAATAACTTCGAACGCGAAATAGTTCAATACGTGAAAATGAGAACCAAAACTTGATAAAGAATATAGAAATGGGGATTTCTGGAATTGTATTGTCAATCAATATACTGTAAACAAACATCTGAGGCCAAAAAAAAGTACATGCTATTATAAATATTGAGATCTGTTGTGAAATAATTCAGTTAAACTACGGAATATTAAAAAAAAAAATTAATAATAAATAATATATACCTTTAAAAATCACATCATATATTCTCTTTGTCATCATAAGTAGATCTTAAATTTGAATTTTATTAAAATTCAAAAATATATATATATATATTTAGATTAATAAAGTTTTTGAATATCTGCATAAAAATATAATATCTGTACCCCGTTTAGACACTGTAATAAAACATTTAGAAATACAAACAAAACTAAAAAGAGCATGAATTCAATTATTTCATTCTTATAAATATCCTGTGAATTAGAAAAAATTGTAAGTACTAAATTTATTTGCCAAATACTAAACTTACGACCGACGCCTTCCCCTACTTCTTTCCAAAATTTTCATCTTTGCTTTGGCATCTTCTTGAGAAACTGTTTTATAATATAATGTAGGTTTTGTAGAAGTTTTTGAGAAAAGAGTATCTAAAGATATAACCTTAACATTAGATGTAGGTTGTGATGGTGGTGCTGGAATTGGAAATTGGATCGCGGCCGCATTTCCCACTATAATTAGTTTGAAGTAAGTTTCTAAATTTATTAAGAATAGTGTGAATACACGAGTAACAAATAACAAAATCATTACAATTGTTATTCCCGTTAAGCCTCTTATCTCTTGCTTCGCGCGAAGCTCCGTGTCCACTTTTCGCCGATTTTTCTTCGGCTTCAACAATTAACCCCTGCGCCTGTTCGAAAGTTAAAAATTCAAGTTCGAGGGGTCTACCAGTTTCAGGCGGGAAAATCGTATGCCATAGTGATTCTCGTGCCAAAATCGCTGATTCCAATTTCTCAAACTGTTCATAAATGATAATATCATTTATAAATTATCATGATTTATAAAAATTCAAACATTTCAATATCAATAATTTACTTAATAAATGTTTACTTTCACATAGCAATGAGACTTAATTTTATCCATCCAAAAATATTCAATCCTGCCAAATTGTTCCAACAAATTCCTAACCATAGGAATTGTCAAAGGGCGAACAAAATTTTTAACGTGAAGAGTTGAAGTTGGCTCATGTTGAGAAGGAGGAACTAAACAAAATTTAGAAAAGATTTCATTATATTAATAAAAGTTTTGAAATAATCCCTATTAATTAATATCTTACTAGTTCGTATTTGAGCAGAGTCTATTTCTTCGTCCGTCTCAGCATCTTCTCCCTAGATAGGTCAAACATAAAAAAGTTTTAGCAGATGAAATATAGATTTTTCTCTCTCGATTATCAAATGATTAGATTTACTTTCGTCAACCTTTTGAGAAGCACCATCATAATCTTGGTTATTATTCGGCCTTCCTGTATCATCATTCTCCGTTGACGATTGAGTGACATTAAGTATATCCTAAGAGATAATAAAAAGATGTAAGGATTTTCACCGATCCATAATTAATTGGTTGATACTCGATTTACCTTTAAACTTTCGGTTGTAATTGATTCATCGAAATCATCAATAGTGTTAATATTTTCGGTCTTTTTAGGTGGAAATGATGACGAAGCTTTTGATTCATCAACACTTTTTCGATGCGTTTTTAACACTCTTCTTGGTCTTTTTGATCCTTCATTCAATTGATTATCTACGGCTATTGTGGCCTCGGCGACTGTTGTTGAAGTATTGTCTAAATGCTCTGTTTTAACAAATCAAATTAGCAGTAAAGGTCTATTTAATTAAATTAGTCCAAGTTTTTTCGTGTTAAGACAATGAAAGGGAATGAAAAAAAAGGTAGGGCAAACCTGCTGAATCTGGCATTTTTTTTCAAACGCCAATAGTTTTTTTTTTTTTTTACAATATAGATCGTTTTGTCAAATAAACTCGGAAAAAGAATAAAATAAAGAAAACGAATAGTTGGTCACCAATGACTCAGCAAAAAGGATACTTATATTTTTATAGCTAAATATAATACCCGCGTAAAATTAGTCGTTTTTTTTTATTGTCAAACGCGCGAATAATAAAACCATTTTTTTTTTGATATTCAAGATTTATGTTTGAATGTTAAACGTGACTCTAGCATTGTACCACCATTATATAAATATGATGAATACGACAAATTTTAACGATTTTTTTTTTCACTTACAGCTATACAAACACGATGTCAGATAAAACTCCCGAACCAAGTTCGCAAGGCTCTGGACAACTCATCAAAAAACAGAAATTGGATCAAACAAATGCATTGACTATTACAAGTGCTGGTTCAGGATCTAATGGCGCTTTAATACAAACGGTTTGTTTTTAATTTATTTTTCAAAAATTTAAACAAGTCGGTTCTTTAACGTTATACGGTTTTTTTGTTAGATTAAACGTACGTCCGGTCTTCAAGCACCGATAATGCTGTTATCCGGACATCAGGTGTGAGGTTGTTATCTTGTTTTAAAATGCTTTTCAAAAAAAAATTTGACAAATCCTATAGCCAATTTATCTTAAGCAACTTTGTTTTTCAGGGAGAAATATACACTGTAAGATTTAACCCTTCGGGACAACACATAGCATCTGGTTCATTTGATAGAACGATATGTAAGCAATTACTCTAGTCTTCAATTTTGAAACCAACAGAAATAATTGATTAAAAATTTTTTTTTTTTTTAGTATTGTGGAACACATACGGTGATTGTATTAATTATGGAGTATTAAAAGGTCATAATGGAGCCATTATGGAACTTCAATGGTCACGAGATTCTAGGTAAGTTGTTGATAAATTATAAAAGAATAAATAAATGAATGTTATTAATCATGGATTTCATTTCTTATCTTTAGCAAGATTTTTTCATGCGCTACGGATAAAACTGTTGGCGTATGGGACGTAACAACTGGCACAAGGATAAAAAAGTTTAAAGGTCACACATCATTTGTCAATAGTGTATCTGCTGCTCGTAGAGGAAATGAAATTCTAGTTAGCGGTAGTGATGATGGTACCATAAGGGTGAGTTAATAATTGAAATTAACAAAATTATGTCGAAATAAGAATGATGATTAATGGCTTGATTTGAAATTTGTTTAGATATGGGATCTCCGACAAAAACATGCCGTTGACACTTTTACTCACCAGTATCAAATAACAGCTACATGTTTTAGTGAAGCTGGAGATTTGGTGTTTGCGGGTTGTTTGGATAATGATATTATTGTAAGTCAATTCTTATCCTTCTTTGACTTCATAGTAAGAACGCTATTTAAAAAAATGATGACGATTTCAATGTCCAATTACTGTAAGACCGTATATCAATACATAATGGTTAAAGTTTCTTGAATATCCTGATAAATACAATTCGTGATATATTTATATATAACATTATCTTGATAATTTAATTGACCTATCATCTTAACTGTATTAGGCTTGGGATTTAAGGAAAAAGGCTCATGCTTATGTTCTCAAAGGACATCAAGATATTATATCCGGTATAAAATTGAGTCCTGACGGATCTTATCTTTTATCCAATGCGATGGATAACACGGGTAAATTTTTACTTTGATGTACATGATTTCGAGCTATAAATATATTTCGTTTTACAATTCATTTTGCATTATCTAGTTCGAGCCTGGGATGTTAAGCCTTTTGCCCCAACCGATCGTCTTCTTAAAATTTTTGAAGGTATAATGTAAATTTTGCTTTATCTGTTTATTATTTTCCTATTTCATCAAACACTTTATCAATTGTCTTTATAAAGGTGCACCTCATAGTTTTGAGAAAAATTTAATCAAACCCGCGTGGTCATCAGATGGCTTACAAATAGCCTCAGGAAGCGGTGATCGAACGGTTGTAATATGGGATTTCTCGAGTCGCCGGATTTTATATAAATTACCTGGTCATAAAGGTTGCGTCAACGAAGTGGATTTCCACCCTAATGAACCTATTAGTAAGTTTCTTAATTTTGTCGATTTTATTTTACATTTATCTGATGTTAAGTTATTTCTTATTATATACAGTTGTTTCTGGAAGTACCGATCGACAAATTTTCCTAGGTGAAATTAATCCAAGTAATTTATAAATCGAAGTAAAAACCAATCTTCAGGATTATTCTTTTGAATTCTTTTTTTTTTTCTTTTTGAATTTTACAATTTGGAAAATTATACAATGATTAGATTATTTTAACGGGTTTGTTTACATTAGATTGTTGAGTATAATAAAAAGTAGACATTGAATTTCAACTAGCTCATAATAATATACAATATACTATTATCATCAAATTTATTGAAAAAGATAATTATGAATCTCCTATAAGTGTCTCGAAACTTTTCACCCCTCTAGGAGTATTTATGTATGTGATTTTAGATCTCATCCTGTTGGAAATTTGTTTCCTCTCGAAGTAATCTTTAAGAATTTTAAAATTCCTGATCCAAAGGACCTTTTGTTGATCGGTCAAACCTTCATCATCTAAAGTTGATTTATAAGCGTTCAAAATCTGACCAAGCAAGTTGTTGTTATATAATTCAAAATTCTTTTCGTTTTCAATCGAAGTAATGATATCTTGTAAACCAATTTTATGTAATGAGATCAATAGCCATCTAGTTTCAAATAAAGAATGATCATTGATCCGTTTAATCTCGGCCAATTCAAATACCTTTGTTAAAATTCGTAAATCAAAAGCGAGTTTCTTTTTAAATTTCATGATATCTATATATAATAATTTGGCCATGGACCAATTCTCATTCATCCTACAAGAAATCATGAGTAAATCATAAGTTTCCGGGGTTAAATTTAAATCTCTGATCCGAATGGAATTTATTGTTGAAATGGCCTTTTCAAATTGTTTTGATTGATTACACATGAGGATCAATTTATTAAAATTATAGATATCTAATGGTAAGTCCGGAAATTGATTCAAGGCTTGATCAAATAACTTTATCCCCCTTTCATATTTTTTACCATCAATACATAACCCGAGTATGATGTCCAAGGTTTGAGTTGATAATTGACAGATGTATGATGATGATGATGATGATGATGATGAAGGGTCATCATCGGATCTCAAACCATAATAATTTCCGATTATTTCAAATGCCTTCTCATAATGAAGAGATTTCTTACAAACCAATAACATGGAACGTACAAGGTGATCATCAATCGTAACCTCACTAGGTCTCTTAACCAAATTCCACTCCAAATCTCGTTTCACCATTTGTTGATACTCTATGGAATTAACATCGAATTGATTCCATAATTTTAATGCGATATCATACCCATCAATACCTTGCCTCGCGCAAGCATTTATCATGATCGTAAATGATTCTTGATTTGGTAACCATTTCCCCTTACTGATGAATTCATTAAAAATCTCTTTTAAGGTTTCAAAATCATCCGATCTGGAACAAACTTTAAGTAAACAATTGACATGAATCGAGTTAAGTTCCACTTGACTATGTTGGATACTTTCCAAGATGGTTCGAGCTTGTGCGACGTTATCGTTGAACGTTCGATTTTCCGCGATACCATTTAATAAGATTGTGTACGTTTGTTCATTTGGAACGAACGAACGTTTTTTCATCTAACGTACGTTTTATCAATCAATGATTAAATTTTTTTTTTTTTTTTTTTAAAAAAAAAAAAAAATAATAAGTTTACAAACCTCATTTAATAATCGAATTGCTAATTTAAGCTTTCCTTTCTTGACGCTGTGATGAATCAAATGATTCCATACGACCACTGATTGCGCGCTCCTTTTCGTATTCCATACGATTGATAATACGTCCTCGAACCTACCCTCTTCGCTAAATTTATTTATCAATTTGGTTAAGTCATACGGATCATCGGGTACTTTTACTTTTGGATCGATTTTTTTAAGAGGAATTTTTAATCGACGGCATTGGGCGGTTGCCGAAAAGGTACGCACAAAAGGTGAAATCCGGGGTGTAACGTTAAGGTTGGGATTTCTGACTCGATGATTTTTGATCAAATTTTTAAGAGAAAAAATTCTCAAGGTACTGATAAACATTATATCAGAGGAATGAAAGAAATTATTATTATTATTATTTTTTATTTTTTTTTATAAAAAAAAGAAATTTTCGTATGATCATCGGATATGTCAGTAATTATTCCGCGGAATTCATAACACGTTCGTTTAATCTAATTGCCTTGTAACGTTTTCTTTTTCCTACGGGAAATTTAATGCGTGGTTTTATTTGCATTAATGTTTATTATTTGTTTGACAATTAAATAATAATAAATAAAATAATGTTTCAAAGAATGTATCCATGTCAGAAACTCAATGCACTCTAATTGTATTACTAATAAATAAACATTAATATTCGACAAAATATTAATATATAATTCAAATTATTATAAATTCTTTGTCTATTAGGTTTAAGATCACTCATCCAAGCCTTTTAAAAAAAAATAATAATAAAAACTTTCCTATTAATATCGTGTATTTATAAAAGAAAATTAAAAACTCTATATTTTTTTATCCAATCACTGAAAATCGGCATCGAAATTAAAAAGAAAAACAAAAAAATAAAAAAAAAAGATATATGCATATATATCAAGTGAAATAAACAATTAAATGATAGTGATAATTAATTAACTTTGATTGTTATCACCGAGATAACTTTGATGCGGCGGCACTATTATGCAAGGTTGACGAGGTTAGTGTATGACCAATACGAATATCCTTATTTATGAAGAGATTTACCTGGATAGTAAGACGCATGTTGAGGTGGCTGTGATGAATATATATCATCATCATCATTCCCATCATCATCTTTATCTTTAGAATTTGCTGAGCGTTCAATCTTTGTAGTCTATTAAATTTAACAAATTTGCATAAATTCAATTCAATCTTAATGACATTGATATCGATAAAATCTGATCAATTTAAATGATCCGAAAATATTTCTCTTACCTCTCGATACTTTGCCAAGTAGATCTTTAGTGCCTCCGCATAATTTTCAAATCCTAAAGACTGCATCGCCCATAAAATATCTTCCCCGTTAATGGTTTTTCTTTTTTCTTGCTGACAACGATCACTTGCCGTACGAATAAAAAATTTATAGGTCAAGGAAAAAGATACGATATTGTCTTCAAAATTTATAACGTGTTTTACAAATTTTTTTTTTCGCAAAAAAAAAAAAAAATAATAATAATAATAAAGGATATTCGCTTGTTATAAATGAAATGAATTCGGAAACACACTCTTGTACGCATTCTTTGGCTTCTTTCGCTATTTTTGCGTTTTCTGGTAAAGCGCGTTTCATTATACGCGCGACATTTGCTATCGGAAGGAATCGATCCTGTTCTTTAAAATCTTCGATATCATCGTCTCCGGATGGGTGTGCTCCTCCTTCGGATACGGACATGGTGAGATTTAAGATTTAAGCCTTTGTAATAAAAACAATTTTCTCAAAGACTTGAAAACGCGGCGTATTTAAAGCTGTAATACTAATATTGGTTAAGTAGTTGTGGTACTCGTGGTAGGCAAGAAGTTCAACACTGTATACTTTTTAATGAAAAAATTCCGGTGAGTAAAAATTCGGAGATTTTATAGTTGATGTGATTGGCTACAATGATGCTCACGTTAAAAAAACGGCTATTAAAATCATATGATCCTTTGCGTAATTATTTGATGGTTAAAATATGACAAAAGCCCAAGAATGGCTAAATGCCAATGTTCCAAATATAAATCAAAGAGGCCAAATAGTTCAATTGACTATATATCAGGCTGCAGGAACAAGTGTCAACCAAAACAATGTATTTACATTTTATAACTCAAATTTGGAAGACGAATTAAATTTGAATGAATTTGTGAATTTGCAACGATTATTTATTCAAGGTAGCAACCAAAATCAAAGGCAAGCTTTAACTGGCTTGAAGGTCAATAAATGCTTGAAATTAAATTATATACAAATTGTGTTCACTAATCTAAGTGAATTAGATTTTGAGAAAAATTCAGCGTTACAGACTTTGTATTGTCATCAAAATCAACTTGTTAATTTGAACTTGGGGGGTAATCCAGCTCTCCAAACCTTGAATTGTTGTAATAACAAATTTACAAGTCTTAATTTAAGTAATGCTCCTGCTATTACGACTTTAAATTGTCAATTTAATCAATTAAATAGTTTGGATTTAAGTAAGAACACCAAATTAGTAAATCTTATTAAGGATGCTAGGACTGATCTTTACACTACGTTTTTGGGTAATTTAAATGATACAATGGAAGAGTTGAAAAAGGAAAAGGAACAAGCACAACGCCAATTGAAAAGATTAATTGACATAATCAAACCTAATAACAGTTTTGCCAATACTAGTTTAAAAGGCGAAGTGGAAAAAATTGAAGAGGAAAATCTTACTCAGAAATTGGAAAATAAGAAGAGGGAACTAGAAAAATTAATTGGCGACGCAAAAAAGGATCTTAATGAAGATCTACGGGAGTGGTTAGAAACTATCCTAGAAGCTCAATTAGAAATTCTAAAAACTAATAATCCCTTTGCTCAAAAGCAATCGGAAAAGGCTGAGAGAATATTAACTAGAACATTACCTGCTGAAGTATTGAAGAACCTTCTTGATAAACAAAAAGAAGTCAAATCACTAAGTGAATAGTCAACGACTCGATGAGTTGAAGCACGAACGGAACTTCCTTCATCGCGAAGCCACTAGACTTGGTGTGCTAAAAGATTTGATGGCATCAAAAGATAATTTTAAAACAAAAAGTAATCTTTGAAAGGCAAAAGATAAGTTAAGAGAATCACATCATGAACAATAACGAATGTGCTTTGAATTTTGGTAATTATTTATATAACTTTAAACTTTAATTTTAGATAAGCAAATTCATCGAAAAAAAGGTTATCAAGAACTTAAACTATGCCCATTCGGTTAATTATCATCACTTTATAATGGACATTCATCATGGGTTTCTTGTTAATTTATTCTGGTTAATTTTAAGGGAAAAATTTTCAAAAATTACATTTTAATTCATGCTTGCTTTAAAATCGCTAATTACTTAAAACTTTGCAAAGTTTTGAAATTCAAGCATAGATGATTCTTCGTATTATTTATAAATATAGATATTAGTAAATTTAAATTAGATATAAATTTACCTTAATAACTGAATGTATTTATTAAATAAATTTTATATTATTTTAAATTGATCAAAATTTTTTATATTAAATTATTAAATTAAATATAATTAGAATTATATATAATAAGTATTTTTGGTTAAATTTATTATAGAATTTTTTAAACTTAATATACTAAATCAAAGTTTTAGATTTTAAAAAAAATATATATTAAAGATTTAATTTAATCTATAAATAATATTTAACTTTTATATATTAAAATAAAATTTTATAAATACACATCACAAAAATCTAACTTAATAGGAATTAATTACATATCTATCAATTACCTATAAAAATAGTAGAAATGATTAGATATTAATTAGTAATAAAAATCAAAGATCACAATTAAATTTGAACAAATAGATTAATAAATCAAGGTCTTCAAATCAGAAAAATTCTAAAAAAAATTATATATAAATTAATTTGATAAAAAGTAATATTGATAATTATTTATAAAAATAACTATATATTGCGAAAATTATTAATTAACAATAAAATCAAAACTTTTTTATTTTTCCACCAATTAATGAATTAGTAGGATTTATCTTAATACTTACTACATACTTTGCAATGATTAAATTCTTGAAATTCAACTAAAAGATAGCTTTGATTAAATAATAAACTAACCTATATTTGAAACATAAATACTACAAAAATTAAAATTTCTAAATATATATGTATAAAAAAAAAAATAATTGTATATATAATATTTGACTTTTTAGCTTTATTGATATTATATATAAGTAAAAAATAAAAAAAATAAATTATTATATGAATTAGTAGTATTTGAACTTTTAGCTTCATCTATAGTACTAGGCGTAAATTAGCATTCATTTCTTTAAGATTATGATCTTTAAAAATTGATTAATTAATAAATTGATATTCATTAAATATTATCAAAATTAATTAAACCTATCTATTTTTTTTATTTTACCAATTTTGTATTTTACAACTTCTATAAAAAATATAAATAAAAATGAACATGAACAAATATATCATCAACATTAATAAACAAGAAGAATTTTCACAGCCATTATGTAAAAAAATTTTAATTTTTAGACATTTTACATTTAGTGGTAGGCGTAACTTCTTTATAATTCAAATAACAGTGAAATACTTACCTTTTTATACTGATTATAAATTTCTCTTTTCTTATTGTAAAAAATCTATTAAGCTGAAATAAAAATTTATTAAATTATTTATCTTATATTTATATTAATAGTTAACTTAAAATAGTTTATTATATATAACTTATAGAAATAAATGAAAGAAATTTCCTGAAGAATATAATTTTTAATATTTTATAAATAAAATTTGATTTTTAATCAATAAAGAGATTTTTATTTCTATTAAAAAATACTTGTTAATGTATCTATAATTTATTAAATGATCAATTTAAGAATATGATTTATCATTATAACTAACAATTATGTCAGTTTATGAAAAAAATTTATTAATATCACATGTGATAATTAGTCAATAATAATTATTAAATTTTAAGTAAAATATTATTATTAAAAGGTGAAACAAATTTATTTTCAAATTTTAGTTCTATTTATAAGATGATTTGTTAATTTATTAATTTTTAATGAAAGATTCTTAAAATAATAAAAGTATTTGATTTTACTCTTATAAAATATTTTTTATAATATATATATTTATAAATATGTATATATATATTTACAATTATTAAAGTATTGCTATAGTAATCACAAAATTAGGATGAATAAGAGAAACTATAACCTAAAGTAATGCTTAATAGTAATTATTTTAATAAGTAATAAAAAATAATATATATATCTCTTTGATTCTTATACCTTCTATTCTTCTTTTACTTTT